GCCAGGCAGGCATAAAGCATGATGGTCACCTCGTCCCCCGGGGAGGACGCTGGTCACCCTTCTCGTCAACATCTCCCGCCCATACCTCCGTCGCCGACGTTATCCAACCCCGACATGATCCTACCGTTTGACTCCAACGAGCGCGAATCTTCCACTCCGTCGCCTCCGTTCAACCTACCTTCACTATCCAACTTGCAGGCGTTCTACGCAAGGCGTCCCGCTCTCGATGACAATACGGACCAGACTCAGGGGATCGCGCAATCGGGCGTTGCTCTGTCTTATGGCAATCGCCCTCAGAGCAAATTATACCCACGGCATACATGGCTGCAAGAGGGCTATGATGCTCGTCGCCTGTCGGATATTGGAGAGGAAGACTCTTCGTCATCTTATGCGCACTTTCCTGGGTTCTCGGGTGCATCTCAAATCGTTTCGCAAACAGGACGGGCGGGAGGTTCTCCCGTTTCGCAACGCGAGACGGGCGAGTTAGAGACTAGGGAGACGGGAACGTGGAGCGGCTCGTCTAGCTCGACAGCTAGTGCTGCTAGTGACTCGTCTTGGGACGGGACGAAAGGCCACCAGGACGGTCGCGGCGCCAAGGACTACCAGCACCAGCTGGAGGACGGTGGCACAGATGCTGTCAATGGCAATGATAAAACTCCAAGCATAGTACAAAGTACGCAGGAGGATGGGTCGGGAGTGGAGCTGTCATCGGCCGTACTGAGTACCGAGGCGGAAAGGATTCTCGAGAACGCGAAGAAGCGCCTGACGGTATGTCTGAGGGAGAGAAGATTGTGGCTTAATGATGAAAGCAGTCGCTAATAATTGCTGTAGCTTATGGAAGGGAACCTGAATCGGGCTCGCACGTCGGTGCGAGTGTCTCCGTCGCTTCCCACTTCGCCAACGCCGCCTGTGGGGCAGTCGCATCTGGGTCTGGGCCAACCCGTCGGCGGCCTGTATCAGTCGATTTCTCGCGCGGACCGTCGGGCCTCAAATCATCGTCTGCGCACAACATATACCTCATCCCAAGATGCGACGGGCAACCGCCATTCGCGCGTCTACAGTGAGACCAAATTACCATCAGCGGCGCACTCAGGTCTTCCCACATCCGACACCAGTCTATCTCGGTCGCTCAGTGCCTTGGGCTCAACCAGTGCATCCAAGTATCGCAGTGATGAGCGGACTTTCCGTTACGACCCCACGCGGTCGTATCTGACCCACCGGGCTTCTATCTCGTCCATGCAGAGGCCATCAGCCCGCTCACCAACCATGGTGCAGGAGCGAGCCTCCTCCGAGTCACCCAAGGGCTTAGGCATATCCACCGAGGAGGAGACGGGAAATCTCATCTCGAGCACGGAGGGGTCTAACGGAGCCTTTCCCGCGCAGGACCCGCCATCTCGTTCCCAGTCGCAAATGCAAGTTCGCGACCTGCACAATCAGATGAAGGGCCTTCACATCAAAATTTCCAGTCTGAAGGTCAAAACCCAGGAGGATAATTTGCGCCGTCGTAGCATGCAGAGCCTGCGGACCCCGAGTCCCTTAAATGCCGCTGACCAATGGTACCCCAATGCTTTGGAATTGAGAGGCCGCCAGGGCAACCTTAGGCCTAGCGCTGGTCAGGGTCAGTCACCGGCTCACTCCGCAGAGAATCAGTTCAGCGACGAATCTGGCTCCGCTAGATACGAGCCTGACGCGATGACTCAACAGGCCGAAACACACAGACAAGCCGTAGAGCAATCATCCCCGGGGAAGACGCACCATCAAGAAGATGATGCCTACGAATTCGATGACGCGCAATCAGTGAACGAGAGTCTTTATGAGGATGCGCAAGAGGGTGACTATGATGAGAGCGGCTTTTTGACATCTGACATCGATCAAGAGTCCGTGGATAATAATTTGGATGATACGTTGGAAGCTTTCCCTCCCGTACCACAGAGCTTCCAGGATAAACCTCACGAGGAGCGAGAGGATGCTTTTGACTACGAGCACTTCATTCTGCATAGTGCCTTAGGCAACTATAGTCAAGCTCGCATGCGCCGTGAGAGCAATGTGTCGACCAGTTCGGTTGAAACCACGCGGCCAACCGACCACCGCTCCGTTCGTCACTCCCGGGCCAACAGTGCAACATCACTTTCCTCCGTTGCGACGTTTGAGACCGCCATAGAGGGCAATCACGATGGACTGGAGAGTGTTCTCTACTGGGATCGGAAGTTCAATGATGGTAGGTTTCTATGCTTCAGTCACAGTTCGGGCTTGTGCTAATTTCTGGTCTAGAATTGAAAGGTCGCCATACGACTGGCATCGACAGCTCGAAAGGAGCTGATTTGGAAACCGGAGGAAACCCTCACACTCTTCGCCGACAGCCCAGTCGACGAGTAAACAGCGCATTATCCCTCAAAGCCCCCACCGTCTCACCACGATCCGACATGGCAATGACAGGAGCCGCGACCCCAACGTCCCTTGCATCGTCTCTTGTGTCAACAGTGCGCGCAGCGTCCAGCGCTCATCTAAGTGCATCAGCCAATGGAAACATGGGACTGAATGACGATGACACGAAACTTTTGGAGCAGCTATTCCAAAGCTTAGGGGACGTTTGTACGGACCTTCAGACCATCACAACCTCTGCGCAGCCGGACCCGAAACAGGTGCGGCTGTTGAGACGACGACTAGACGCCGCTCGGCGAGTGCTGGACGGAGAATTGGACACCTAAATTAGGTATAAAAGAGTAAACAAATCAATTCTGGAATTTATGTGGGGGCTTGGTGGACAGTGCGGTTGTTTTTTGCGTTTTGCTGTTATAGCAATCCAGGTGAAAGCCTTGGATATGATACCCTGATATTCGATATTTCGATTTAGCCAGTGCAGATTCTGTTCTTGTATACTATAGTCGCAGATAGTAGTTACTCAAAAGCAAACAGGTCGTGAGATAGGGTGACAAGCGTTGTATACCAAGTGCCGTTGACCCCACCCTAAACCGTGCACGTGCTTTCGTCATGCTTTGATCTCCGACGCGCCACGCGTAGCAGCCACATTCAACATTCAACCGTGAAAGTAAATAATCCCATTATGGCAATGAGGGCCACTGCCATTGTCATCATCACCCCTTTTGAGTTACTCTTCGAGTCCTTGACATTCATTGAGTGATCCTGAACCGAGCTGGACTCTGTGTGCTGGTCGGTCCTTATTCTCCCCAATTTCTGATGCGTCCTTTGCCCCGCATCTCGAATCGCATAATTCCGTCTGACATTCAGCCACAGATACAACAACTCTCAGACCTAAGTGGAGCAACGAAGGCAGGCTTGACTCGACGAGGGACTACATTCCTTCTCTATATAGGGACAGAAAGCATTCGTTCAATTGCTCGCGCGCATCGCTATTTTCATCTCATCGAGCGCAATTGAAGCAAGCGCAAAGACGGAGAATTTTTTTTTCTTGTGTCGAGCTTGTGCAACGGCGATAAGAGGGTCGGGTTGGTCCCCCCGCCAAGACAAGTTGTCTCCATACTTTCGAGGACGAGATTCTCACCCTCACGGGAGCTCCTTTTCTACAGAAGTTCATATCATACCTTCCGACTCGAAAGAAGAAGCCTCATTCCTCAATACCTTCCTTATATTATGTCTCCGCCACCACCCCCATCCCGCCGCCTGCTCATCTTCCAAGAGGCGCGCCACCCCCAGACGGCCGAGGTCGTGTACTTGCCCGTGAACAAACTGGGCCTCCCCATCTGCGGTGATGGACCGGACCTCCCCTCCATCCTGGAGTTGCCGCTGCGGATCCTGAAGGCGTTCACGGAGATCTTCAATCAGCCTAAGTATAAGGGATGGTGAGTGTGATCAAAACTTCTGAGGCTTCTAGTCTGCATGCTCGTGGTCTAGGTATGGGGCTCGCTGACCGTCGAGATTAGGGCTATTGTGGCTGCGGGGCCGTACCATGATACCTCGGAGGAAGGGAAGTATTATGCTGTTGTGTTGGAGCAGACGGCGTCGGCGCAGCATGCGGACTCGATGGGGTCGATATTGTAGGTTGGGAGTCTGGGAGGGGATTGCTGTTGATTATGTTTTCAATGGGCGTCTATGTGTTATGCTATACTATACTAATATGTGTATAATTTGATGGTATGATGGTTGGCTCTGTTGCTTGTTTGGTTGTTGATGGAGTGGTTTGGTGGACTTGCTTTGCTTTTGTGTCGAGGGTTCGGCATTTGTAGTATTGTACCTTTTCTTGCGTTGTGGTGGAGATGGTGACTGATCTCTACTCCGGTTCGTATACCCTGTTTGCCTTGAAATTAGGGCCTGGGGTTGATTGCGCTTTGGGAGGAATCAGCTGGTCCACAATGTCTGTTTCTATGTACATAGTTTTGTTTCTCTATTTGGGCTAGTTGTCCCATATGTCTATCATATCGTCGCCAAATCAACCGAGACGAACTTTCTCTTGACCCATGCCTGGCTGTTCATACAAATCAGACGAGAACTCGAGATACGATGTGAGGAAGCATTCCTTCCTGTCTCAGACGGTCTCGTGCCGAGTGGTGGACATTCAATGGCTATCTACAGTCATCCACCGCCTTAACCTCCAAGTCAGTGAATGAGGATGTCTACCCTGGGTTACCATATTTGTTATATTCACTGGCCCACGCCTACCATGGCTATATCATCCCACGAGATTCTTTCTCGACCTCTTCTTCTCTCCTCTCTTGTTCCTCCTTGATTCCCAAGAGACTCAGTCTTCAACCTGCTTACCTACATCTCCAGAGTACGTATCCTCCTACAAACCACTTTCATCCGATGAAATTCTCCATCTCATTCTACTTAACAAGACCTCCCGCGAGCTTATCCCTGAACACGAACAACTTACAGTATCTGACTGCCATCCAGTCAAAACCTCATCATCCAATATCAGAACTCACCATCTACAAAGTAAGCCCCCTCCTCCTCCTCCAGCAGCTCAACACCAAACCACTAACCACACACTCATCTCTCCTGCGAAGCTACCCAAAACCAAGATGTCATTCAACATCACCGACGAGTCCCACCTCGCATCCCCCGACCCACACCCCTCGAATATCGACCTCCTCATCCCACTCACCAGCATCATGCTATACTTCACCCTAGAACATCTAGGCGTCATCACCGACCAAATGCGCGCGGGAATCGTCCTAGCAGCATGGTACATCATCACCCCCGCTCTTTCCGTCACCACGAAGTTGCCCACAAACCACAAGATACACTACTGCTAACTACCTTTCAGCGGCACTTACCTCGCCAGTCAGATGCCCGATAACGGTTACTTCGCAACAAACAACAGGGTCGTCGTCGAGACACCCACTGCAGATGATCTGGAGGCTCGGCTGGGGCCTTATCCTCTGTTCCCGCATATGTGGTATGGAGTCCAGGGTGATATGGCCGTGCATGGTGGTTATGGGCGTGATGAGAATGAAGACCAAGAGGAAGAAGACGTTGGCGTGGACGCCACCCCCAGACCTCCTGTGGGTGGGTCATTTGGCGTTAAGAAGATTGTTTATGGTTTAATACTCTGTTTTCAGTGGGTTTTGGTGCCTTTTGTTAGGGGTCTTCGGAAGGGGGTTGAGCAGGGTTTCGATGTTGGGGTTATTTTGACGGAAGAGGAGGAGAAGGAGGAGGAGGAGAAGACGGAAAAGACGGAGAAGGAGCTGACTGCCGTCACATGCGAGACTATGACTTCGTCTGATGAGCTCTGTGAATATGCTACCTCGCTTAGGGCCTCAGATGCCTTAGCAGACGAGAGTATCGACCGTTGGACTTCCACTTTCGTCATCAACAAGGCTGAATCCATCAAAGAGGAGGAACTGTCTACCTTCGGGTTTGAGGCACCAAACGACGATGCTCCCTTTCCCCCTGACTTTGTTTCCGGCATTGAACATTCTGACTGGGACTCTCTGGATGATATACTCGACGACTACCGCTCCGATACATCGTGCTCACCCGACTTTCCGTCCTCTCATCCATCTGAGACTGCATGCTCAACCTCATCTTCTACGTTGGTTAACGATTGCAAGCCAGCGGCTGACTCCTCTAACCCTAATCCCTTCGACCCTCAGCCAGGCAGCGTTCTGGATGTTATTCTTGACGAGTATCTTTCAGACTCATACTCGGAGTTTGACGATGAAACCGAACTCACTTTTCTCCCCTACAGTCCGACAACCTCCTGCCCTAGCTCTACCTCCAGCTTTTCCACTATCGACACAGATGACTTCCTGACCGGGACCATTGACGCGAAGCTCTCGCAGATCTGGCCTACAGACCCAAAAATCGACGACGCTCCTCTCCCCTACAACCTCACACATGAGCCCGCCTCCCCCTTCGACGAAGTACTCGAAGAGCTCGAGAGATACATCGAACAACAGCAACATGCTGCACGCGAGGAATACACCACTCTCATCCCCAGAGCCATTGTCCCGAAGAAGAGAGCTCAAACCTCCATCTCCCACCCCAGTCTCCCTCGCACAGCCACCCAATCTACCCCAACGCCTCCTCATTTCAATATTGCGATTCCGGCCGGGAAGAAACCCAGCGAACCCGCACCCCCTGCCCCTGCCTCAAACAGCACTAGCATCGCCATCAATCCCCTGCAATCCTGCCTCTTCAAGCCCCAGCCCTCTTCGAAGCGCGGCATTCATCGCCTAATGCTGGAGGCAGATTCTTCTCCACCCAGTGTAAACCTCGAGACCCTGACCCCCCTCGAGCTCGACCGACTCACTCGTTTCAGCACCTGGAAGAACCTCTTCGTGAACGACATCTCTTCTCCGATCTACAACCACAGCCAACACCGCCCAAAAGTCTCGGGTCCCCGATCCATGCACGCCGCTTGTCCACCTCCTGCATTGCTGTCAACACGGACAAAGACACACAAAAGCGTCCGCTTCCACCCGGCCGTCACGAACATCGACATCCGGATCTGTCCGAGGTACCTGCGGACCCGGCGCCACCGTGACCCTGATGGCGAGGTCATTGAGCGTCCGGTCTTCTCGCTGATTCCCTTGCGAGAGTAGGGGATGGAGCGATGTATCGGTGTTCGTTAGCGGAACTTCATGTACGGAGGGGTTGGCTCATACTCGCTCGGGTGGATGCAGATGTACTCGACTCGGCATGTCTCTTGTTTGATCACCACCTCGTCTGATAATCAAACGATATTCTACGGTCTTCACACACATGTACTTCATTCATAACCGTCAAAATCGCCTATTCACCCAAAAGGTGTACCATACACGAACCGCATCCTCCCAGGAACAGCACCAGCGTCGAACACCTTCCCCCTCCCCCCGCAAAGCATCATACTTCCAATCCCAGCAATAATCAAGGTACCAGACATCTCAACAACCAACCCGAGATTCAAACCAAGCTCCTCGCCCCATACCAACCTCAAAGCTGAACTCACGCACAGAAACAAACCAAACTACAAAGTGGCATCAAACGGACCAACGAGCTAGCCCTAAAATATTTCTCACCGACCCCACACGCAAGAAACCACCCTCCATCCAGCTGCAATACAGCGTACAGCAGCCTCCATAATCCCTTACCTAAAGAAACAACAAACAATAAACAACAAAAAATTGAACAGCGCCAGAGCCTACCCCTTCCTCAAGCTCGGCACATGCGCTGGGAACTCAACATCAACGATACTCAGAGCCAGGAATTCGCCCCACCTAGTAGTTCTGTTCTGTTCTGGAACCGAAGCTTCCAAATCTCCAGTTACTTGAACTACCTAACCATTCCACGCCTTCCCGTGGAACAAACACCGTCCCTGACAGGAGGCCCGGTGGATTCGGACATGGTGCTTACGGGGCTGTTACCGTGCGCCAACTCGGGGGGGTGCTTGCTTCTGAGGCAGATGTGAAAGAGGCAGGGGGGTGCAAGGTCCAGAAACTGCTAGGGGAATATGATATAATATCTGCCTCTCCCTTTCTCTTTGGCTTGGATATTGATATCCAGGATCTTGGATTCCTGGACGGAGATGACTCGCCGGCGAGGACATTGGAAAATGGAAAAGCAAAGGAGCCGCGCAAGTCCAGAGACAGCTCTAACACTCCTTCTCATCCAGGAGCACCTGATCCCCCCCCCCAAGAGAAAAAACCATCCCGACCATTTCCCTCGATTACCCCAGCCGTCCCTGCTGTCTCCAACAAGGGAAAAACAAAACACAGATAAGGATCCGGATACGAAGAAGTGAAGAAGACATCGGGAGACGACATTCCCGACCCTCTCTCTGCCTGCATGTATGTATAAAAGTGCAAAAGCAAAACTAAGTTATATCCATCACTCGAAACCCATACATCCCCAACACATGTACAATATATAATCCAATCGTTCATCAAGACAACATAAAGAAACCCATACACCAAAAAAAAGAAGAAATCATGATTGATTTAGGTTCGGTATTCAGATCCATTAACAAACCCACCCCGACCTTCCAACAACATTCGCCTAGTAAAAAATCCTCATCAGACAGGGAAAGGAAAAGACTAAGAGTAAAAGTAGGAGACACCGTGACACTAATCCTCCCACGCCTTGAACCCCCTCAAAAGCACTCAAGACTCAAGACTCAAGACTCAAGACTCCTCCCCCCTCCCCTCCCTTTCCCACCCTAATAACGTTTCTCCTTGAATTCCATTGGATATAAAAAAAGCCACCCTTACTACAATAACAATGACGGATGAACAGTCAAGAGAATTTTGGAACAGACTCCGACAACACACACACAGATGGAACACCGAAAGGAGAATGGAAAGGAAATTGGAGCAAAAAAGAAAGTAAACCCGCTTAACGTGTGGTAGAATAGTAGTGGTAGTAGCAAGTACATAGGAAAGAAAAATTATGGGATTCGGTTCGGATTTCTCATCATCAGGGTCGTTGCGCAGGTTCTTTTTTTCTGATTTGTTTGTTTGGGCGTCATTCTTCCTACTCTCTCTCTCTCTCTCTCTCTCTCTCTCCATAGTAATTGTGATGGTGATGGCACACGATTGTTTCAACTAGCTAGCTAGGGGGGGGTAGGTAAGATAGACGAGGGAACAGGATTAGGTGTAGACGTTGGATGGAGGAAGGAGTTTGGCGCCGTAGCGCAGGTCGAGGGAACGAGAGTCGGCCGGGTCGAAAACGGTGGCTTGACGTTGTTCGAGGAAAAGAGCTAATGATGCCATGAGAATGTGTTTGTGCACAAAGGGAAAGAAATCTTACAGGTAATCTTGATAGAGTCGAACCAGCGCACGGCGTTCTCGTCGCTACCGTCCACCGCCTTGAGAATTCCGGTATCGGGGCGCGGAGTTGCCTTGGGCGGTAAGCTGCGCATCTTCAACAGCATGTGTAGGATATCCGAGAACCGATCACCCTGGCTGGCATAGTATGGAGGGCGCTTGTCCAGAGGCCACTGCGGAAACATTAGCACGCCTGCGCGCATTTCAAGGCGTCCACAACTTACACGTTGAACGAAGTTCTCGTCGTCCCATGAGCGGAACAGCCAGCAGGTCCTCTCAACACAATTCAACAAGATGATCGCAACCAGGAAGGTTTCAAACCAGCCACTCTGCTGGCGCTGCAGCAGTCGCCGCTCTAAATCGTTCATCACCGACTTGCTCAGCTGAGACGCACGTTTCTCGGTCGCGGCACGCAACTGGCTGCACAGCAGAGCATACGACTCGGTGTTGGTCACCTCGTCGATAGGTGTACGACCGTCGTCCGAGGGCTGTGCGAGAGAGTGCACCGAGGTAGGCGGAAGAGTTGGGTTGCAGTACGTCTTCCACTGCAGTTCCGAATCCACCAGAATGTGAGTGGCGATCCACAACTCCAACACACGTTCCAACAACAGATCCTACACCTGTTAGCGGCGCAGCTCCTGGGTCCAGTATTGAGTCGAAATTTACCTTCTTCTGCTGACTTAGCTCCGCAGCAAGCATCAAAGTGGGCCGCATGAACTCGGAAGTCTCACGCTCATAGAAGAATGGGGCGGTTTTCTTGATGTACATCTCAACCTTTCCCGGCAAATCATCGGTATCGCTATCCAGCAAATAGAGCTCCGAAAGAGGTCCCTGGAATTGTGGCTCGTCGGCCAGGCCCTGTAGCTGGGGATCAAGTGGTGAGGCAGAAGGCTTGTGACCCTGGAGTCCGCTAAATGTGACATAGACCAAGCTCTCCTCAAAGTGAGTAACCTCAATACGACCAGCGTAATGTTCGAACTTGACCTGGTTGCGGATGCTGCTCACATCGTGATATGCCAGCGTAGCGTGCAGATCTTCGACAGTTAGCTCCGATCAGGCATGACGGGATCACAGAAAACATACTTGCGTTGTAAAGCTCGAATTCTTCCGCAATTCGAGTACGAATGCATGGGTGCTTCCACAGGCGGGCGCTCTCAACGCTGGCACACGTGGTGCAAGGACTGTCTCCGGAGCACTAGGCATAGATTTGTTAGTCGCACGCTGATCAAATAGACAAATCAACACATACCGGCTTCTTCAGCATACGACAGCGAATGCAAGCACCCCGCTTTCTGACCTCCTGAACCTCTCGGCGTCGTGCAGCGGAGAACCGACCGCGCACTTTCGGTTTGGTAGGCTTAGTTGAGTTCCCAAACTCGTTCACAAAACCTTTAGCTTGCGAGTTCGGGTTCATCGCAATCGGACGGGGAAAAGATGCGGCGCGCTGGGTAGCAGCAGTCAAGGTAGGATCGTGTTCATGAAGGCTGTCGAAAAGGAGCTGTTCCTGGGTGGATAGCTGCTGGTTCCATGGGGGACTCATCTTAGCCAGTCCATCACCAAGTCCGACACTGGGGTCCTGGTCCATCGGTAGTCCATGTGGGACCATCTCACTCGCTGAAGCGGCGATCATGGATAATTGTGACTGACGCGCGTTGGCAGCCGAGTCAGTGGCAAGAGACGCTTCCGCCATTGCAGGGGATGCGGATGGTTGTGGTTCAGCTGGGGAGCTACCAGGGAGGGAAGGTAGAGACGAGGCGCTGGAAGCAGCTTGTTGAGGGGTACCTGAGCGGCGAAGACAGTATTAGTGAATGACGGTCCCAGCAGTAGTGTTACTGAATTCGATGCACACATGAAGAAATAAAATCGAAAAACAAAGTGCTTACCAGGTGGCTTCGCATCCTCCTCCACTGCCTCTGGCTGGGTCGGATTGCCCTGGAAGCCTTCGGCCTCGAGGGCAGGATCCACGACGACCGTCTTGCCTCCAACCGTCAACGACTGAGTGTACGCGGGCCCGCCCCGTTTGGTTGAGTCGGAGGCGCCCACCTGTCTCGAGGCCTCGGCCAACACGTTAAGCCCGTCAAAGTTCTGACGAGCTGCTGCAAAGGGCAGATCCCCGGACTTGCCTTTGTTCGGACCCGTTCCGTCTTTGTTTGGGTCACCGTCGGCAAGATCGGGAAGTTCGTGTAGTCGCAACAAGACGCGTTGACGATCGCGCAGGGGAATGGCTTGACACTTCTTGACGAGATGGTTGGTCAGACTGTCGATGCGCCCTTTGGGAAATTTCTCGCCGCAAGCTTTGCAAGTGTGCTGGTAGCGATTGCTGGCGTCCTCGAGCTTCTGGCCGCGAATGAAGAACTCGAGGATCAACTGATTCGGTTTTCTGCCCATTGCGAAAGGCGTGGGTGGCAGAAGAGACACCAGGACTGTGAATCCAAGGGTCCAAGGGGTCCAAGGTGTCGAGTACAGTCTCGAGTCACAGACCCTGTTTTGGGGGGGAGTGGGGGAAGTTGATCACCGTTGTTTTTGAATTTCCTCGAATAGATTTGTGAAAGACCGGCAGTAAATGGGGTCAGAGCCAAAGTGACGCACACAGGGGAAAGCGGACGAGGGGTGGGAGAAGGCGAGCGGATGGCAAAATAGCAGTTGGCCACAATCCCGACCGGCAGAACCCACCACCGGCTCTTGACCGCTTGAAATCACGTTTCAGCGGGTCAACAGAGATGAAAGTGGTCGCTGCAGAGGCGCAAAGCAGTGGCAATGCAATGACAGCAATTGCAGAGGGGTAGCAGATGACAATGAGGGTGAGGAATGGTGTAGGGGCGAAGAGGAGGGAGTGGGATGAAAGGGAATAATGTTACGAGTCGCGGCAAAACACCGACTTTTACACGGGCGGTCTGTCACTGGCCGCCCTCCAAAGTCACGGGTTGGTCGGGTTTCGGTTTGGATGCGCTTCACCGCATGAAAGGCGGTGATGAACTCGGTGAATGCACACTGCGAGGAATCAGATTCAGATGTGGGAAGCTGGGTCTTGATCCTTGATGAGTTTGGTGATAAAACGAAAAAAAGAAAGTCGACTTGCTTGACTCTCTTGCTCCTCTTGGGTCTGTTCGTCATCAACAACCACTTCGCTAAGAAACCCTTTCTTTCTGTGCGACCATTGCTGGCTAATTGGCTGGTCCACCTTCCACACCCAGACACAACCTCTCCTCCAGGCTCCCTAACTGACTGCCTTCTTTCCTCTCCGCTTCTCTACTCGGTGGCTGCTCTCCTCACTCTCACTCTCAACTATGGACTCTAGGGGATTCCTGTGACCGCCTTTTCTTCGGTCTCGGCTCCGATTCAAACTTCGGAGGGACAACAAAGTATAAACTAACTATTTGTAACTACACAAACAGGAATATACACATAATGTATTCATTGTTAATGGTGGCAATCCCAACTTCAACGTAAATACAATTCATCGCCAAAAAAAAATAAACAAAAAATAAAACACAAAAAAAGACAACAAGGTTTTCCAAAAAGAGAATCGTCTACCTCCATCCCGGCCGTCCACTTCCATATCCACTGCGGGAATTTCGGGCCTCCTCGCTGCTGTTGCCGTGTATGTATGTCAAGTACATACAGTACAGCGAAAAGTTCTGACGCACGGAGAGAAGTCGGTCTGGGATGACAAAAAAGCAAATGCATCACCAATGGATCCCCACTGGCAGCTCCGTTGTTATCTGTCACCCCGGCTCCCGTCTCGTCTCTACGTGTCTCTTGAGGCAAACCAAAAAAAAGATTATATTTTGGGCACTTCAGCAGATGCGATGCTCGGGAGGCCGCCAAGGCACTCCCAGAATCTCGAAGATTCGCCGCTCATCGCGTCCTTCGACCAGCCGGCCTGTGGTCAATTTCACTCGCTGAGGTCCGCGTAGCACGTCGGCGTAAAGCCCCCGTTGGTTCAGCCGCATGCCCTTCTTGCTGGCCAGGAGTCTCATGCTCCTGTTGAAGATGTCGTTGCCAGTGAAGTAGATCAAAGCTGCCCCAATCTCAGATCCGGGCACGAAAAGCAGGTCGATCCGTCGCCAAAGCCGACCGTTGGGAAGCTTCGAGGCCCCGTGCCATTTGGATCCATCGACACGGGAGGTGGCAGCCAGGCTGGTCTGTAGGAAGTCTTCCTGGAAAAGGCCCGGGACGACGGCTTCAATCATGATGGTCCGAATTTGCTCTATTGTAGCGGAGGGCTTGGTGATGATCAGGTCAATGTCGCCCGAAGTGGACGCACCACGTCGATAGGAACCCCCAATGATGACCTGCATCTCTGGATCAGCCTTTCGCACTGCCGCCCGCACGATCTCTCCATGCACTTCAACCTCGTTCCGTGGAATACGCTGGGCGAAATCATGATAATGCTCCACGCCCACCCGTTGATTCTGCGTAAGGGGCGCTCTAGTTTTCAGGTCTTCCAGCGACCGGTAGCCTTGTGCAAGCCATCTCGAGGCTTGGGAGACGCCAGCCCCATAGACACCTAGAAACTCCTGGAGTATCCGATCTTCAGGAGTGCTGTTGGCGTTTTCCAGCCGACGCAGGCGGTTCGTGAACACAATCTCTTCGATCTTGTCGGCCAGACGTGTGCCAATCCCTGGCAGTGACAAAGCCTGGGATCTGGTGGCAATTTTCTTCGGTTGTTTCCGAAGGGCACTGATCGCCTTGCGATAGGCGAGCGTGCGCCATTGGTCACCTAATCGATCATAGTAGTCCAGCATTTGCTGTAGGACGGCAATGGTCCGATTGTTTGCATTTTCCGCATTGGCCTTCGAATCATGCTTCTGCATGCATACAAAATTCTGCTGCCAGTCAGATTGCGCCTCACTCCTGCGTGCGCTCATCTTCCTCTTCTTTGGCTGTGATTCGCCCGAGTCAGAGGCCTCGGCATCAGATGTTTCAGCCGTACTTTGATCATCCTCAGAGTCTAACGGCTACTATCGATTAGAGTGAGAATCCAGGAAGGCTTCTTCGTTGGCCCTTACCAGATCTTTCACAGCCTTTGCTTCTTCGATAAGATCATCCAAGGCATCCCGCTCTCGAACAGGTTCGGACACAGTATATAGGTCGTTCGGGCACTCGGCCACCTGCTCCGCAGCATACAGCTCAGAGGTTTGTTGTTCGGTAGCGTGCCACCCAGTAGTTTGTCCTTCAGTAGCCTGACGGTGCAGCTCAGTATGCGTGTGCGATTGTGTCTCGTGTTGCTGCTGCTGCTCTCGTCGGCTCGGTTTGATCGACAAGGATCCACCATCCGAGGGTTCGATCACAGGCGAAGAGCCCTTCTCTCCTGCAGGGACAGGTGTACCGCTGACGCGGAACCGAACCTGAGCTGTGTTCAATACCGTGCGAAACTTGACGCACTCAGAAGGGTAGCTTTCGTCGACGAGCGCGACTGTGGACTGTGTCCGTGTTAACAGATAACGATCTCACCAGGCCTGTTGTCTGCGTCACCTACCGGGAAAGATTCGACATGTAGATGCTTGATGACGTCGTGAAAGGTGAGTCCCTTATCCACTATAACGTGAGTGACATGGTCGCCCCAGGTTTCTGCAGCAGAAGCACCGTAATCCTGCGCGCGCTGGATACGCAGACGTCGAAGGGCTGAGGCACCGTTGTCCGGAAAGAAGACTAAGATACAAACGAAATAAGCTCCAACCCCGAAGACGGTAACCGAAAGTGAAGTAAGACCTACAGAAGACAAGACCTTTGAAGATCTGGAGCTCTTCCGGAACGATCCTGGACGAGCATTGCCGCTTTCCCTTGCTAGAGACAGGCACAGCTTTCTTGTTGCGAGGCATCTCTCCCGCTATCCTTGAGGTGCTCAGCAGAGTCACTTCTGAGAGAGTCTCGTCTGATCTCGCAGCAGCAGCAGCAACGCAACGAGGGCGTTTCTCACGCTTGGTGCATGCTTCAGTAGCGGAAGGTGCGATCACTCGGACTTCAGTTTTCGTGACCGTAGACCTAGACTTCATGACAGCAGGCCCCTCATCTTTTAAGGCTTTCCTGATGCTTGAATGAGATTTCAGGATCATTCGATCTCCCTCGTCCTCGGACAAAGAATCCAGTCGCTCCAAGCCCTCAAAGAAGGCCTTTTTGGCCGCATCCGCGGACGCCATGGTATGGTGGCTGAGGTCCCGACGCCCAGAGCCAGAGACCGTCGAGCCATGAGTAATAGTCTTCTGCGTGACTGCGGCCTAGCAGGCGACAACAAGCTGCTCAGAACGAGCAAGAGCACTTTGAAATTCACATAGAGTCAGTCCGAGACCAAAGAGGAATGACCGAGGGATGACACGACCGGCGAGGACAGTCACGCGTAACCCGAACCACGAAAATGCCACCAAGTCACGGGACCCGTGGAAATCAATTAAACTCGGGGAAGGGCTTCTGGGTGGGCCCCATTCATTCCGACCGAGTCTCCGGAGTGCGGAACGGCAGTTTTGTACTCCAGCAAGCAACGACTTACAACAGGCATCGCTGCACCGCACCGTCTTCTCCATTCGACCAAAGACTCATCACAATGTGGAAGCCTAACCGGCTGCTGTCGTCTATCTCAGACCTGCAAAATGGTCGCTGTCTCAGCTGTCAATTGCGCAAGGCGACTGCGTACCTTGACAGACCTACGCTGCGGTACTATGCCAGCAGCAGCAACAGCAGCAGCAGCAGCAAACCCTCCCCCACGCCAGCTTCAACCAAAGTCCCATCGAAACCCGTCTACTCTCCAACAGCCTCCAAGATTCCGACCCCAACACCCGGCGAAGACTTCGTGCCTCCACCTCTTGACCGACCCATCGGGTCCCCCGTGCCTCCAAGTGAGGGACAAAACACCGGTGTCGACGATCGATCATTCGGGCAACGACGAGATGACTTTGTCAACTACGAGAGACACTTGGAAAGACGGAAACAACTGTACGTCGCCTTTTCCCCGGATACCTCATCTCGTCGCAGGGTCCATTTCTATACACTTTCCTCTTCTCCCCCTCCCAACAACCATTACCCTAACTCCACCCCTCCATCCCCTCCCCACACCAAAAAGACACAAACCACAGAAGAAACATAAGTAACCACACAACACCACCATCACAGAGCCCACCAAGTCGCCAAGCCGTACTTCCGCGAATGGAACAACATGCGCCACCACGAAGGCAAGAGCTTCGTGGCGAACACGCGGCTCTTCAAGCGCGACAAGGCGCTCTACTTCCCCAACATGCGCGGCATCACGCTGGCCTCAAAGCGGCAGCCGCGCGACACGACCCCACTCTTCCGGGGCCGCATCACCGTGGTGAACATCTTCTCGAGCCTGTGGGCCGAGAACCAGACCTCGACGTTCACGCACCGGGAGAAGAACCCGGGCCTGTACGAGGCGTTCGCGGCGGCGGTGGAGGGTTCCAAGGACAAGAGCATCGTGCAGAAGGTCGACATCAACCTCGAGCAGAACCCGCTTAAGGGGGCGATCGTCAAGATGTTCATGTGGTCGATGCGCCGGAACCTGCCCAGCGCGCAGCACGACAAGTACTTCCTGGTGACCAAGGGCGTGGACGAGCGATTGCGCGAGACGATCGGCATGATGAACTCCAAGGTCGGATATGTCTACCTGCTGGACGAGAACTGCCGCATCCGGTGGGCGGGCAGTGGTAATGCCGAGCCGGAGGAGAAGGAGGCGCTGAACAATGGCGTCCGGAAGCTGGCGCAGGAGCGCCGCGTGAGTGTGGAAAGCGAGACGCCGGCGGCGGAGTGGGCCAGCGAGCAGAAGGGGGAGCAGGTGAAGAAGGCTAGGGTTGTGATGCCTTGATTCTGGTGCAAGGTTACGGGGCATGATAGCCAAATATATAGCGGTTGTATGTGTATGTACATATCAGGTAGCATTTGGGGGAGTTTGTACGATGGCTGCCGTACTGTAAGATAGATATATGCTAGCACGCAAAAATATCGAGACACCTCTCCCCAACACCGAGGAGGGAGACTACATATCTCCGCTCTCCTATTAGTATATTCTGTATAGCAAATCAAGACAAGACAAGAAACATTCCCGAACGCCTGCTTTCTGATACCGTCAAATCAATCAAACCTCACCCTCAGC